GTTGGACACCCCTGAGCTAGACAATGCAAGGATCAGCTTTGCAGATGGAAGCCCCCTGGAAGGCTAAGGATGGAGAAATTGGGTAGCCGAAGGGGTGAGAATGCAACCAAGGCAGCCGGCTGCTTTTGCCATGGGAATAACAACCTCTCAACCTCTTCCTGCAGACTGAGAAATTGACCCGTGGATGTATTTGTGAACGTGCACATACACTGGAAAACGTGGGATAGGCAAACACATGATCCTTTTGTGTCACGTGACCAAGAGAGAAGACGACCTAGAATGAAATTCTTAGCTCCATCCCGAGCAGGTGTCCTTCCTAAAAGCTGAGAAGTGTCCAAAGTGGGCAGTTTCTTTCAGATTTTGGGTTGGGTTCAACAGCATCAGAAACGCCCCTCTGGGTTTTAAAACACATAGCTAACTCTGCAGCTGTGTTTTGCCAAAACAAGTTGTGTTGCCTGATTTGGCAAAAAGCGTCTTGAGTTTAATGTCCTTTCTCAGCAGTTAAAATATACAGAGCAATGTTTTGGGTCATGCATTGGGTCACTTTGGAATGTAGGTGTTGGCGTGGTTCTGCATGATGGAAACGGTTAATTCTTCCTTCCTTCCAAGGAGAATGAGTATTCCTTCAGTGCTATAAAACGAGGACTTTTCAGAGCCACCTGCCTTGGAAGCACAGGCTGCGTGGTAGCATGTTTCTCCAACACGAAAATAAAACTCCTGAAAGGAAGTTGGTTTTGTTTTGATTTTTTTTTTTTTTTTTTTTTTGCTGGCTTTTCAAATGAGTGTCTGTATTTTTTTTCCAGCTGATATCATCATCTCCGATCCGTATCCCTAGTAGCCGACTCCATCAAATCAGAAGGGTAAGTGAATAAAACAGTGAAAAGAACAGACCCCAGGTTTCTCTGCAGATTCTTTAACTGTTTCCAAACATAGCTGGCACAGTTACATATTGGGCAACCTAGATTAACATCATGCATTTACTCAGCATGTTCTCCCTGTCAGAGCTTTCTTTTGTGAAAGCACATACACACACAATCCCTCTAGACTGCAGGGATCTACTACCTTAGCAACTTTACAACTTGAGGACTTCAGCTTGTGAAATGGAAGTCCGCGAGTTGTAAAGCTGCCCAGGTTGGAGGTGCAAATGAAGCTTCCAGATACACTTAACCCTGTGAGTGCAAGCAGCCCGTGCTGTGCTTTACCGATGGAATATTCTCACATGCAAGCCGTGGTTCTGTTGCTCCTTTCTGCCCTTAACTACACTGATAACGAAGTGCCAGTCAGTTTAGGCATGAAGGGGTGAACCCCCCCCCCCCGAGTCATTAATTCTTCCTCTTCCTCAGGAGGAAGGAGTGGACCTGATGAACAGAGAAACAGCCCATGAAAGGTAGGTGTGATTCAAACGCTGTCTAGAAGTCGCCTCTCTCTCGTCCTGCTGTGGCACTGATGACCCTTTTTGTGTTTTAGGGAAGTGCAAACAGCAATGCAGATAAGCCAGTCATGGGAAGAAAGCTTGAGCCTGGTAATCTCTTTATACAGATGTTTAATGTTTTAATCCCACTCCTTCCCTTAACCAGTGGACGTAAGGCACAAGAACAGAGGTAGCTTAAGGGGAGTGGCCGGTTTGCCACTTGGTTTTTCCTTAGAACCGCTCAGCTTTTCTGGCTCTGCCACGTGCCACCTAAACCATAAGTTGGGATGCTTTGTGTTCCCAGAGCGACAACGACTTGGACAAGTCTGAAAAATCTTCCTCTCCAAAGAGAATAGACTTCATTCCTGTTTCTCCAGCTCCTTCGCCCACCAGAGGTATAGGAAAGGTAGGTCAGAAAGATTTGGAGAAGGGGCCATTGTGTGAATCAGAAAATAATGAGAACGATGTGAGGGCTTAGCCAAAGGAGGCCGCTGGTAGCACCCTCGCCCCTTTTTATTGACTTCCCCTCCCTTCGTGTCCACGGATCAACCTGTTGAATTTCTCATTTCTGTCTTTTCACATTTTCTGCTTTTCCTTCCCAGCAATGCTTCTCGCCGTCTCTGCAAATGTTTGTGAGCAGTAACGGGTTGCCTCCGAGCCCTATTCCTAGTCCCACAAGGAGATTTTCAAAGTGAGTTGAAGTGTTTGAAGTATCGAGGCCTCCTTAATAATGAGAGTTTCGCTGCTGTAATAGAACCCGAAGAAGTTAGCCAATGGGGGCTAATCTTAAAAATGTTCCAAGTATTGAGAACGTCTTGCCTTAAAAAGGATTCTGGCTGGATGCTTCCCTCTGTGGAGGGTTGGGTAGATACCCTCAGATTATTTCAGTAGTTTCTAGTCCTCCATTCCACGGGCTTGCTTCCATGGGTAAGGTAAGAGTCCAGGAAGGTAGAAATCTGGAAAATCTAGATTTGCTTTTTTTAAGAATTAAACTCCATCAGGTATTTATCTTGTGAAACTTAAGAAACACCTCAGTCAGGTATAAATCTATATGCCTACTTCAGTCCCGTATAAAACTAGCTTAAACTACTTGCTTGTGAAACTTAAGAAACGCTACATGTATCTTAACCTTAAGCTCTTTATTGGCCCTCTACGTGTCCTGCAAGAAATCTTGTCCATTCTGTCCAGGCTGGTTGCTTTCAAATGTATTACAACTCCCAGGAGCCTTTGGTTACATTAGCTTGTAAGGCTGGCAGGAAGTGAGGTGTTCAGTTTCTGAAGCTCACACATAATGATAGTCCTAAAACAGACACTGATTTTAAAATAATTCAGGAATGTGTTTCCTTATAACCTTCAGAGTGTCAACATCCTAGAAAGATAATACTCCGACTTTGATTTTAGCAGGAGGAGTCAGAGTCCAATCAACTGTATCAGGCCCAGCGTACTTGGTCCCATTAAAAGGAAAGGTATGTAATGCTTCCAAAATATTGTCCAGTACATCAGGTATTAGGGACAGAGAGCCTGTTTTATCGATCACTTCCTCCTGGTGGAATGATCTCAATTTACAAAGGCAACTGTGTAAATTCTTGGACACAGGCTGTTGTACTTGACCACTGCAAATGACCTTCCTTGTATTTCTGCGTGATGGAAGCGTATCATTCTTCTGTGTGCTAAGGAGAATGTGTATTCCCTCAGTGCTATAAAATAAGGAGATTTCAGGGCCACCAGCCTTGGAGTAGGGGCTGAATGGTAGTATATTTCTCCTACATTAGAAACGCAGAGTCTCGAATTTTGCTCCTGCTTTACACGGTCTGGCTGATTCCAGTAGGGCTACGAAAGCCACCTTCCACAAATCTGGCTCAGCAACAAGCAAGAAGCTGAAAAAATCTTGGATTTTGGTCTTGGATCACACAAACAAGAATTCTCAGAGAGCGGGATGGTTATTGACAATCTCCCTCTCTCCCTCCCTCTCTCTCTCTCATTTCTAAGCAGAAGGTAGAATCTTGTTTATCCTCTTCTGCTTAAGAAGGAGGGGAAAACCCTGCAAAAGATGAACTGGGAATGTTGTTGGAGCTTGCAGAAGAAAAAGAAGGGTTAACCTCCCTCCTTTTGAAAAACAGACATGTACTCTGGGTAGTTTGCCAAGGCTTATTTTTCAGAGGGAGGCTAGAAGGGACACTTCCTACCTGCTAAATGTCAAGAATAAGGCACCCTTTGTGTGTTCATAGGACAAATCTCCCAGTTTGCTTTGTTCTTACAAAGCTTTGATTTTCTGTGCCATGCAGATACTCTCTTTCTCCCGTGGCAAAGCGTGTCAGTCTGAGGTAGATGGTGGAACCACCTCTGTTAAAAAGCTTCCTTTTCAAATTTAATAAGAACGGCTTGAATTCCCACAGGTGAAATGGACACCGAAAGCCAGCCAAAGAGACTTTTCCAAGGAACCACCAATATGCTTTCTCCTGATGTCACCCACCTGACTGACCTCAGCTCATGGTAAATTATTTCTACAGAAGAGTTGCTCGGAATATGCTGCCGCCTTACGAATGGGCTGCCAAGGTGGTTGTGGCCTCACGGTTTCATCTAGCATGCGTAATTTTTATGACCCGTCCTGAGAAATTTCTGGATCAACCAAGAAGAATCACCCTGAGATTTAAGGAAGGGGCTACAAAGACGTTTGACTCCAGGACTGAAGGTCTGGAATTCAGTCCATGGCATTTCTTGGGCTGAACTGTCACACTGTCTTGTCTGATCCTCTAAAAAGCTACCACTGGTCAGCTACCATTTGGCCAAAGGGTTGATTCTTTGGAGCCCCATCTTTTTTGGTGTCCGTTATGGTACATTAGATTCCCACTTGGCTCTTCGAGCAAGTAGGAACGAGAAAATCAATCCGTCAACTGGAGAAATTCAGGGTGGCCAGTTGAAGAAGCTGCACTTAAATTTCTGTGCCTTGTGATTTGGGTGAATCACAAAACCGGTCTTAATTCTGGATGGTCAGTCCCACAGGGCTGGGATTCCAGCATCTTCCCCCACGTGCAAACATTTTGTAGTGAAACCGTTCCTGTCGTAAGGTTGAGCTGACATGCTGGAGCTCCTGAACGGATTAAATGCTTCAGAAGCCGTTCAGTCACACTTGTTTGAGCAAAGGAAAAGGCAAGTTGTGGATGGATCAGTGAAGACGGGGTTTGTGTGTGTCACATTCCGGAAAGAAGTCTAGATTGAAAAGAGAGACATCTGGTTTATTTTTGCCCCATCTCCTGACTCGGAGTAAAAGAAGAGGCAAATGGAGCATCCTTTGCAGGTGTCAAACATGAAAATCACTTGAGTGATGCTAATTAACTTACGATATAATAATAATATGAGCCGTGGCGCAGTGGTCAGAGTGCGGTACTGCAGGCCACTTCTGCTGACTACCGGCTGCCTACAATTTGGCAGTTCAAATCTCACCAGGCTCAAGGTTGACTCAGCCTTCTGTCCTTCCAAGGTCGGTAAACTGAGGACCCAGATTGTTGGGGGAGCAAGAGGCTGACTCTGCAAACCGCTTAGAGAGGGCTGTGGAAGCACTGTGTGATGACCCGGGGCATGACACAAAAATAACCAAGTCACCAAAGCAGAATAAATTCCCTTTAATGCCTCCAACTTGGCCCCAATGTCCAATTATCCTCGGCTGGATAACAAACTCTTCAAAAAAAAAAAAACAGTCCACGAAGGGCAGAAATGCAGTCCGAACCCAAAGTAAAGATAATGAGAAATTAAAAAACCAACACAAACCACACTGAAGTAACTAACACAGCAGGCCAGGATGATAAATTGCAGACTTTTGATAACACAGCACCCATAGTTGGGAGGACGCCAAAACCCAGATAAGCCTGACCAAGATAATGCATGCTTTGCTTCCAGCAAGGAGCCGTGTGCAAAAGCCCCACTTGCATCCTGTTCTCCCAGCTGCAACGAATGAAAGGGATTAGGGCCCTTTTCTCCCCCGTAAACCATGTTGCTCCCTTCTCGATTCCTCCCTTCGTACCCTAGGATGAAGAGGGGGTGGGTAAGTGCTATTGCTATTTAGTGTAATGTTCCTCCCTCCCTCCTGTTAACTCTCCAGTAGGAAACTGCAGGCGCCCCCAGCGATCGTCCTCTTTCGGGATATTGTTTTAAGGGCCCATTCTGCAAAAGGCCAGCTGCCCCGCCCTCTCACGCAAAGTCTACCCGAATAAAACGGCGTGCTTTTCCCCTCTTTCTTCCCAGTCTGTCTTCGGATATCCTGGACGGGAGCACCAGCAGCGTCAGCTCTTCCTCGGACTCCTTGGCCAAAGGTGGCGGCAGCACCACCACCGAATCGCCCCTCGCATGCTCCAACTCCTGCTCTTCCTTCCTCTTGATGGACGACCTTTCGCCCAAGTGACTTTCCCCGGGGGTCGACGTCTTGCCCGCTCTCTGTCCTCTCGCACTCTGCCTCTGCGCTGAGAAAAATCCACGGGGAAACAAATCCTCCAGGACCTGAGGATGTTTTAAAAGTCCCGAGTGGAAAACTCAAAGGCAACTTTTAATGCTCGGCAACATCTCCGCGTGGCTTGGATGGTCTTTTCTCTTTTCAACCGACACGCCAGGCGCTTAAACGATAATAGGCCTTTTGGGCTGTCTGGTTTTGCAGCTTTTCGTTGTTTTTTTTAAAAAAAACCCCAACCCCTTATTTTACCCGTGACCTGTTGAGATCATTTACTATCTTTGCTTTCAAAGAAACCGCAACAACGCTTTTTAGAAATTTTCCAGACAAGCACCTAATTTATATTAGTGTGAAAATGGTAGGCGGGGAAGCCCTTTCGCTGTTGCTATCCTGGTTGTGGGTTCTGGAGGTGAAGGAAGGGAGGGAGAGAATTGTTAGAAAAATGTCCTTGTTCAACGTGCTTTTGTTTTTTGTTTTGTTTTTTTGGAAAGAATAACCTAGATTGCTCTTGAAATCCATTTAGGGGGAAGAAATGAACTGTTTCTGCTAGACAACGGCACATTGTGGGCCTCCTCCCCTCTCCCCCTACCCCCCCCCCTCCATTCACAATACCCCTAAAGAATTATTTTATAGTTGGAACCTCTTTATTTCTCAGTCGCATCATCTACTTTTTTCTTTTCCAGAGAAGAGGCAGAGGTTGCAAAATTGCCCTTTGCGGTTCAAAGCAGCGGCTTGCTTGGGAGCCAGAACCCCCCTTTTTGGGGGGCCAAGGCTGGCTCCGTAGCAGACGGAGGAGGATTTAACTCTCCTGCTGTTTCTGGGGTTGTACAGAGATGGCTTCCAAGGCTGCAGGGATGAGCAGTTGCAAAAATATTTTTTGGGGGGAGTGGTGGTAGAAAGGGGCAATTGTTTCGGCTATCAAGTAGAATACGTCAAATAGTCGGTGTCTCCCGCGGCACTGAGCAACGTTTGTGCCTTAGGAGACCTAGTAAAAGAATGGAAGAATGTAAGCCAAGGACCCGGGTGGAGGGAAAAGGCTTCGATGGGGGGCTCGTACCAGGTGCTGCTGCCCTCTTGCTGCTCCTAGGTGGCTCCTGGGGGGCTGGAAGGGGAGAAGATCCTCCCAGCTCTTCAAGGTCAGGCTTGCCTGGAAGGCAGCAGCCACAAGACAGGCTTAATGGCCCCAAAGGCTCCCCCGTTGGTTGGGCTCGAAGCTCTGTAAGCCAGAAGGAGGGGTAAACCTGTAGTAGCTTAGCTCAGTTTGGGCTACAGCAAATGGTTTGTTTACTTCTTGAGATCCAACCAGGCTTAACCAACAGAAAAGAGATCTACTTGTAATCTACTGTGTTATGCTATTTATTATTTATAACTGTAAAAAAAAAAGTCTGGTGTTGAATTATAGTATTTTTTTATGATTGAAACCCTTTTTTATGTTTTGTGATTGCTGGCTAGTCTGTATTGAATAGGCAACTTTGTCTGCCAAAAAACCCCTCCATCAATGTATGCTTCCCCTTTTGAATGTTTGTGAGTATCCACACGCTCTTTTTTTTTTTTCCAAAAATCCCAAGTTTGGAGGGAAGGGTGTTTTCTCCCCCCCCCTCCCCCACTTTTGGGTAAGATAATAGCACTGAATTTGACACGGGATTGTGCTGACCTGCAGGGCCCAGGAATCTCTGCCCATGTTTGCCTGTCTTCAGGAGGGGAAACGCCCGTGGAGAAGACTTCGTCCCAAAAAGAGGGTCGTTTCATCTTCCGTACTTTTTAGCCTTTTGGTTTGGAAAGTGTTTGTTTGGAATTGTAATAAGTACTACATTCGGGCCAGTTGTGCCTCTGTTGTTGTGATCTCACTATGGAGAGTTAGTTTCCCCCTTTCCAATAAATATTGTAAGATATTCAGTGGTACCTGTTCTGACCCAGGCTTCGTCTAATGTAATTAAACACAAACTTGCTTTAAAAGCAAAACCTACTTTATTGCAACGCTGGGAATTGCTTACATTCCCAGCCAGAACTAATCTTAAACAGTTCCCCAAGATAAGTACACGCCTTTCAGTGCTGTGGAATGCTGCCAAAAACAAGTATCCAATTAATGATAACAGAAACCAACTGAAGTACCAGAAAAAACCCGACCAGAGTTCACAGGGCTTCAATGAGGAATCAGAATCTAATGAACTTCTTTGCTTCCTGCAAAGAGCACGTCACCAAGGGCTGACTTTTATCCCTTATGGGAGGGGGCAGTCATATACGTTTTACAGTTGAAAGAATATCCAATTACAAAGTCTTCTTACCGGTTGCCTTTGTCATTTACCATAAACAAAGATATCAAAGTATAAGCACATCAGAGATCCTTAGATAGCAACGGAATGTCAGAGAGAGCAAGCCATGATCTCTAGCTCCCTCTTAGGGCAATTCGCAATACACTCAACCAATCGGAACATAGTACAAATCAATACAGTGACTTTGTCTTAAAGCTACAAACATGCATTGTTCGTTTATATATTGCCAGCCCAACTAATTGGTGGACAGATTCCTAACAGGTTTCCTCTTCCCATCCTTTTGATTCCTCTTGCTCTGGTCATTAAAAAATAAGTTCAACACAAAACTCATTGTGAGGTTTCGCTATATCTTCCCATTCAAATGCCATTGTCCGCCGGCAGAAAATCCGGACTATTTCTAGTTGGGTTTTTAATTCCTTTTTGGGCTCTACTGGACGTTGACAATGGCCGAGCCTAAAAATTTACATTGCAACATGAGAAATTTGTTAAGTGAGCTTTGCCCCATTTTACGACTCTCCCCCCCCCACACACTTTTGTTTAGTGAATCACTGCAATGAGCCACACCCGCTTGTCAGAAGATCGCAACAAGGGATGACGTGATCCCCGGGATGCTACGACCGTCGTAATAATGTGAGTCAATTGTCAAGCATCCTAAGGTAAATCGCATGACTAGGGATGCTGCAACTGTCATCCGTGTGGGGAAAATGGACATAAGTCGCTTTTTCAGTGCCGTTGTAACTTTGGTCACTGTTGTAAGTCGGGGACTAGCTGTATTTTTTCAAGCATCGAGTCTTGGAAACATTTTGGCTTCTACACCTGTCAGAATGGGCCTGAGCGACAAAGCCAAAATACAGAGTGATCTGAATTTCAACCTTTTTCTTTCTTTTTACTGTAGTGTTTTTGTCTACAATCCTATCCACCTTTTTCTTGAACTTCTATTGTCTGTCTACAGCCAGGATCTCTCGATCCACAGATCTCCTGCTAATAATGTTGAGCGCACTGGGCTCTTGCTGGCCCTAAGCAAAACTAAGGAAACGAACATGGGTTCATGTAACACACATTATACTATATATAACAGGTAGCCCTCGACTTTATGACTATAATTGAGCCCGGAACAGTGGTGGGATTCAATTTTTTTTTGCTACCGGTTCTGTGGGCATGGCTTGGCAGAGGAAGGATCCTGCAAAATCCCTCCTTCCCTCCCCACCCCACTAACCTGCTTTCCAGCTCTGTTCTCCTGTGCAGGGCAACCAAAGAAGACCCAGCCAATCAGCTGTGGGTGTGGCTTGGTGGGTGGGGCAGGGGAAGGATCCTGCAAACTCCCCCCTTCCCTCCCCACCCCACTGACCTGCTTTCCAGCTCCGTTCTCCTGTGCAGGGCAACCAAAGAAGACTCAGCCGATCAGCTAGGACTCGATGGGAGGCAGAGAAGAGATGGGGTTGGCAGGGCCAGTCAGAGGTGGGATTTACTGGTTCTCTGAACTACTCACAATTTCTGCTACCGGTTCTCCAGAACCGGTCAGAACTGGCTGAATACCACCTCTGGCCCAGAATTACAGTTGCAACGCCAGGCATCATTTGACTGGACCTGATTTTTCAACATTTCTTGGCGGCCACCATTAAGCAAATCCACACTACCCACCGGCAATTTTTGCCAGAAGCGGGGCGGGGGAAGGGGACACAAAACCAAAATTTGCTGTCACGTAACTGTCACGTAGCTGCAAAGTGCCCTAAAGGTCTGTGCACCTACCTGTCTGTCACTTTGAAATTGGGTCGTAAGTAGCTTTTGACAGGTCTGGCACAATGGGTTGCTAAACAACTGTGTAACAAGAGAACCGAGGAATTGTGTCTGGTCCATTTCTGTGGCCACAAGAGGGCACAAAAACAACTTGGAAAATAGCTTTCAACATCTACTGTGGACTGCATGTTGCTTGGAAAAAGTGGTCACCAAAGCAGATCTTGTTCGCACCTAGAGAACCATAAAATGTCGTGTGTTGCAATGAACCCTCTGGAAACGGCCTGGGAGAGATTGTGGTTGTTGCAGCTGTTTTTTCTTGCTACTGTGTTGTGGGGTATGTGTGTGTGAGTTTGTCTAGACCTAATTCTAGAATCTCAGAGAATTGTTTCCAACATCTTTTACCTCTGCATCCTACTGTGGTGCATAGCATTGGCTTGTTTTATTTAGAATAGAATAAAATAGAATTAGAATTAATTAGAATATTGGAATGAAGAATAGAAATAGAATAGAATAGAATAGGAATAGAATAGAATAGAATAGAATAGAATAGAATAGAATAGAATAGAATAGAAATA